GGGAACTGTGCCCGCCCGGGCCGCCGCGCGGGAGAAAGACGTTCCGGCCCCGCCCCGCTCACGCCCCCTTCCGCGGGAGGGCTGCTTGCCCTACGCCCCTGGTGGGTCGGGCCGCCCCAATTATAGGGCGCCTGCGGGGAGCTGGGCCCTGCTAGAGAGCGCATGCTCTGGAATCCGCGGGGCTAGGGGAGTACGTGGACATGCACCCTCCTCCCCACCCCCACCCAGATTCCGTTCCAGCCACACAATTGCTGCGCAACACAGTGCATGAAGTTTTTAAAAAATGCATTTTAATAGGTACTGTCACGGGACGCTAATGAGGATGAGCAGCCCGAGGTGAGAGCTGAAAGGCCAGGAGCAGGGACCTCCGCATGTCTCCATCCCGTGGTGATAAGGCAAAGCACTCACTGTTAAGTGTCGTTAGGTGTCAGTGGGTGCGTGTATCATGTAAATGAAAAGGGAAAGGACTTCGGAAAAAGGCCTCTGAAGAGGGTAGCAGGTAGGGATGGATGAAGGAGTTGCAGTCAACCCCTGTTTGAATATAGTTTTTCTTTCCAAGGAGAAAATGTATGTGTATTCGTTGTAACTTTTTAAGAGATAAAACACACGCGGGGCAGCTGGGTAGCTCAGTCCGTTAGGCGTCAGACTCTTAGTTTCCACTCAGGTCATGATCTCAGGGTCCTGAGATTGAGTCCCACACAGCACAGAATCAGCTTGGGATTCTCTGCCTCTCCCTCACCCTCCCCCTCTGCCCCTCTTCCTAGCTCGCATATGCACACTCTCTCTCTAGAATAAATAAATATCTGAAATAAATAGGGGTGCCTGGGTGGCTCAATCGGTTAAGCCTCCAACTCTTGATTTCAGCTCAGGTCATGCTCTCAGGGTCAAGAGATGGAGTCCCTCGGCTGGCCCTGCGCTCAGCGCAGAGTCTGCTTGTCTCTCTACCTCCGCCCCTCCCCTCCCCGCCCGCTTGCACTCTCTCTCAAATAAATATCATATAAAAAAAATATACAACAGGGTGCCTGGATGGCTTAGTCAGTTAAGCGTCTGCCTTCAGCTCAGGTGTCAGGTCATGATCCCGGGATCCTGGGATCGAGTCCCGCCGGGAGCCTGCTTTTCCCTCTCCCTCTGCCTGCCTCTCTGCCTAGCAAGAGAGAACTTGGGTTCTCTCTCTGTCAAGTAAGTAAAATCTTAAAAAAAAAAAGATACAACACACACGGTTCCGGTCCCATCAGTGAGGCCCGAAAAATTTTAATCCACCAACGCATGAGTGAGCCTCTAAGAACAGCCCCTCGAGCCCCTAGGGCAAGGTTTCCTGGTTATGCCCCCTTGCGAGTATCTCCGCAACTACAGGACCCCCAGGGGCAGAGTTAGCTAATTATAGTTCATCAGGGTCCCTCTAATGCCTAGCAATTCAAACCTGCATTAGTGCCCCCTATACCGAACTCCTTGGTCACTGTGGCCCCAAAACCTCCTGTGGTCAGAGTTCCCCCAACTCCTGCATCCGGATTACAAGAACCAAAATCTTTTTCCTGTCGAGTCCTCAAACTCCGATTCCTGGGCCACCGTGCCCCCACAATTCGGCTCTGGGATATTTTGCCCCCGAATTCTGTCCCCGGGTCACTGTCGCCCAGCCCTAACAGCCACAGGCCTCGGCAAATTCCCAGCCTCCCCCCTCAGAGTATCATCCAATTTTGCTTCCTACACCCCAGTCCTCCTCTCCCACTACCTGGCCTAGGGCCCGAGGGGCGCGGCAGCCACGACCGCGCCCTCCCCGCCTCAGCCAATCAGCGATTGCCGCACACCCCCCGCGGCGGCCAATCCGCAGCAGCCATGCAGGCCCACCCCCCTCACTGAGGAGATTCAACCCAAAGTGGGCCCCGCGCCCCTGGGGGAATCCAGGCTCCGCCCTTCCGCAACTGGGGAGTCCACGCCCCCTATGTTTCCTTCTCCCCCAGACCCAGGAGTCCGGATCCCAGCGCCTCCTCCCTCTGACCCAGTACTCTCAACCCTAGCTGCTGCTTCCCACAGAACTTCTGGAGCCCGCCACCCTCCTATACCTCAGCCAGCGAGGTCAAATCTCCTTTCCCTTAACGACCAGGATTAACGAGGAGGCCCTTTTGTTTCACCTCCACTATTGTCTCCTAATAGGGTTTAATTTATTCTCCCCTGCGGGCCCTTGTATTAGCAGGGGTGAAGCCGACCGGCAATACTTTCCCCAGGAGCCTGCTGCAAGGCCTGCCGGGAGTTGTAGTCCCTCGGGTCGAGGCTACGCGTGGGAACCCGTGGGGCTGGGAACTGGGACGCGGTCCCCGCGTGGCAGAACTCAAGGGCAGAAAATAAATGTCATGACGCCCTCCTCCTGGCTGCAAACTCCTTTTATGGGAACTTGCGGGGTAGTTTGGCACATTGGTAAGTGGAGTTAACGTCTAGAGCTGGGGTCTGCACCTAAGAGGCAGATGGTAGACGCTGAAATCTGGGAGTCTGAGCTTGGGGTGGGAGTTCTAGTCAGGAAGGCCCAAGTGGAAATGTGGGAAATTAGGAAGGGATGGTGGGGAGCTCCACGGGGGTGTCCGGGATGGCCTTGCGCCCATACCCCAGCTCTGCACCCCCGCTCACAAGCAGCTCAATCCCAGTGCAGAAGTTAGCTTCGGAGGCCAGGAACACGGCAGCGGCCCCCACGTCAGCGGGCTGGCCCATGCAGCCCAGGGGCTGGGGAGAGACCAGGGGAAAAGGAGACCAAGTGAAGCACCTGGTCTGACTGCCGCGCCCTGAGCCACTCCCATACCACCTGGATCTGGCCCCACTCCCACCTGGGCCAATGTGCCCTCTTGGACTGTAGCAGTGGGGTCAGGCGTTGAGGCTGATAGCTCCTCCCACAGTGGGGTCCAGATGTTTCCCGGGGAAATACTGTGGGAAGGGAGAAGAGGGGATCAGGGAAGTGTGCCATAAACGTGGCCTCTTCGGCTCACTCCCAGCCTTCTCTGCCCACTTGGAGCTGCTCACCAGTTGACCCGGACGCCATACTGACTCTCATCCAGGGCCAAGGCTTTGGTCATGGCTGTTACTGCCCCCTGTGGAAGATGATGGGGGGGGGGAGTTCAGTCCAGGGAAGACGAGGTCCCTCTTGTTCTCTCCTCCAACAAGGGGGTGTCAAGCTGGGGCATCAGAATGGGGAGGTCATGCCTTCCCTGCTGCCCTCCATGGGATGCACCAGGCTCTGTTTCCTGGGAGACACTTGGCGCGTAACAACACGCCACAAGTTGTCATGCTTCAGGGCCGAGGTACCTGGAGGGCCTGGTAGGGAGTGAAGGAAGAGGTAGGGTACCTTGGTGGCCACATAAGGAACTGCCTGGACCTGGCCAATGGCCCCCACCAGACTGGAGATGTTGATAACGTTCCCCTGGCTCTTCCGCAGGTGGGGGAGGGCAAGCTGGGGAGACAGAAGGCAAAGTCAGCCACCTGAGCCCCTGGGTTCCTCCAGCCACACTGAAACACATCCTGATGCCTGGGCCAATGGCCATTGCCCTGATATGTTCCCTAATGGATCTCGGTGCCTTGTAGCGACAGCATTCTAGAACTCAAGAGGGCACCTTCACTGGTTTGCCCCAGGGTCTCTGGGTCTGCTTAAGGAATCCCTCCATGTCTGGAAGGCATTTTTCTCTATGTCTCCTCTACTACCTCTCTCTTTCCCTCCCTCCGTTTGTGTCCCTGTCCCCCTCCCCCACCACCCTCCCCCCCTTCCCCCCCCCAACCCCGTCCCAGTCCCCCTCTCTCTAGGTCTCTGTCTCCCCCACCCCGGGTCTTTATATGTTACTCAAACTCATGTCCAAATCACGATAGGAAAATGCAAGATGGCTGCATATTTTGCAAAAATGGGCGGAAGACCTTTTATCCATGAGGGCGGTATCTCTGAATTTTAGGGAGAACTCTGTGGTCAGAATGTGACGTGGGAGACCTTCATGAAATGCACCCATTTTACCAGCTTCTCCCCAGCAACTCTCTGGCTCCCCGGAGGTCCCTAAACTAATTCTTTCTCCCTCTCTTCCCTTCCTCTGTCTCTCAGCTCTTTCACTACACATGACCTTGAATAAACTCAAATTCTATCCTTCTCCTTGCTTTCCTTTGACAGCTGAGCTGGCCTGGCAAGACCTGTTCCTGCTGCTAAAGATTAATGACTATAAACAGGTTCCCTTAAGTGGTTTCCAGAGTGGGAATCTAAATTAGCTCCCTCTCTGGGTCACCCCATCAGCTCTTTCAAACTTTCTCCACTCCCTCAAAAACAGCCTCCACCTTTTCTGAGGTCCGTAACTTCAAACATACCCTGAGCGTTCCAACCTCAGGGCCTTTGCACTTGCAGTTCCCTCTGTCTGGAGTACTTTTCCTCTGATACGCATGGGACTCACTCCTAGGGTGACCAGCCATTCCAGTTTGCCCAGGACTGAAGCGCTTCTGAGGACACGGGACATTCCGAACACTTTCAGGACTAACCTGGGACAGTCCCAGGTAAACCTAGTCCCTCAACAATTCCAAATCTTGTTCAAATGTCACCTTCTCAATGAGGCCAACCCTGACTGTCCTATTTATTTATTTAAAGATTTATTTATTTGAGGGGCGCCTGGGTGGCTCAGTCGTTAAGCGTCTGCCTTTGGCTCAGGTCATGATCCCAGGGTCCTGGGATTGAGCCCCACATCGGGCTCTCTGCTCAGCAGGAACCCTGCTTCTCCCTCTCCCACTTCCCCTGCTTGTGTTCCCACTCTCTTTGTCTCTCTGTCAAAATAAATAAATAAAATCT